GTTCATTGCAACACTTTTCACAACAGCCAACCTGTGGAAATTATTGATATGTCCATAAACAGATGAATTTGTAAACAAAATAGTGTATATACATACAATGGAATCTTACTCTACCATAAAGAAAAATGAAGTACTGATGTACAACATGGGTGAACCTTAAAAACATCAGTATAATGTTTTGGAGCAAAATAAGCATAATGAGCAAAATAAGCCAGTTGCAAAAGGGCAAATCTTTTATGATCTCACTTATGTGAAATAAGCAAATGTATAAAAGCCAAATTATTATTCATTATCAGGGCTAGGAAGTGGGGAAAGAGAGTTTTGCTTAGGAAGCATTGAGTTTATATTAATAGTGATGGAATAATTTGGAAAAGGAAACCAGAATGATTGTACAATTTGAAGAATGTGATCAATGTCACTAAATTATACATGTTGAAATTAGCCTATGTTTTGTTGTGTGTATCTTCACCACAATTTTAAAAAGGAAAAAGAAGAGCTTTCTGTTTATTAGGAGAGAAAAGCACATAAAGCAGACAATAATAATCAATATCTTCTATAAATCTCCTTATCTCCAAAACACCTGAAGCAGGATTGCAAAATTGCTCATTCTACACTCAAATGTACAAAGGAAATGTAATCCCTTTATAACTTTATAGTAGCTGTGTTAACATTACACATGAGCCTTCCAGCTTCAATGTAGCAGAGGAAACTGAAATGTTAATCCATCCTGGTAAACTCAAGTTGACCCCACAATGTTAACGTTCTTTTTAGGAGGCACAATCTCTGCTTGAACAACTCAGGCAATTGTTCAATCGGTCTTTCAGATTTCTGCCTCCTCTCTTGTTGTTGTTGTTGTTATTTGCCGTCGAGTCGGCCCCCACTCATAGCGACCCCTCCTTGGGTTTCCGAGGCAGTATCACTACGGAAGTAGGATTGCCCAACCTTCCTTCCGAGGAGTGGCTGGTGGGTTTGAACCGCCAGCCTTCTGGTGAGCAGTCAAGTGCCTTAGCCACTATGCTACCAGAGCTCCTCTAGCTCCTCTCTAAGAAGACCGGGGTGAGTGTAGGTGGTGTGGCTTCTGTGACCTTGTGGCAACAGGGGAGACAAGGTCCTTGGATCTGTCTGTATAGCATTCACAGGATTCCCACTGTTCCTGCACAGAGCCTAGGTTGTTTCCTGGTCTGATGAGCAACATAGTGGCTCCCCCTACAGCAATTGCTGGCCCCAGCCATTGCCACCAGTCTTAAAATCCCTGTACATCATGACTTCTTTGCTCCATCTTCAGCCTCTGCCAGGCTTTTCACCCTCCCAGCACCTCTGGGTACCCTCAAGGGAGCTTGTGGAAACTTTTGGATACTTGTAAATTCTTTGTGGTATAAGGAGCCTCAGGTTCATCCCTTGAGCAGAGGAAAGAAGTGTGACTTTAGCTCCCTCTCAGATGCTCCTCTATCACATTTTTCTTTCCACAACACATCAGGCTTAAAAAAGGCAAACTTCAGGCTTTTTTTTCCCTGAAAATCATATCCTCCTTTGACCCTCATACAATAAGCCTCATGTTCTAGCCACTACAGGCAAAAAGATAATTTATCTATACTATAGAAAACCTCTACGATCTAGTACATAGGCTGCTCCTTGATATGTCAAACCAGCATAGTAACCCCATGTGTTGCAGAATAAAACTGCTCCATAGGGTTTTCTTGGTTGTAACCTTTATAGAGGAGTCCTGGTGGTGCAGTGACTAAAGTGCTTGGCTGTTAACCAAAAGGCCAGCAAACCCATTAGCTGCTCCAGGGGAGAAGAATGAGGAAGTCTGCTTCCATGAAGATTTACAACCTTAGAAACCCTATGAGACAGTTCTGCTCTGTTTTATAGGGTCACTTTGAGTCAGAATCTACGTAACAGCAGTGAGCTTGGTTTCATTTTGGATTTTTTTTTTTTAACTTTTTATTATGATTTGGGTGAAATTTTACAAAGTAGAATAATTTTACATTCAACAGTTCATACACATTTTGTTTTGTGACAACTGATTACAAATCCTACCAGGTCACCCTCTCCCTGTGTCTTTCCTGCCTATGCATTCCTGCCTCCTTAGCTTTCTCCCGTTGCAAATGCTGGCCTTGTGATCTCCCATGGTTGATTGTTCTAAGGAGTGCATCTCCCTGTAGTTGTTCAGCTCAGAGGCCTGTCCATTGTTTGACTGAAAGATAGCCACGAGAGTGAGTCCAATTCCAGACCTAAAGGATGACTAGGGGCCATAGTCTTAGGGGTTTATCCAGTCTCTATCAAACCAGTAATCCTGGTGTTTATTATGTTTTTTTGAATTTTTGTTTCACGTTTTTCTCCCACTCTATCCAGGATCTCCAATTTTGGTCCTTCCTGAGTGGTTGGCAGTGGTAGCCATGCTCCATCTTATCTAAGGGTCATATAGGCTGAGTTCTTCTTATCTAAGGGTCATATAGACTGAAGTTCTCATGGTCCATTAGTCCTTTGGACTAATTGTTTCCATGGGTCTTTGATTTTCTTCACTGTTCTTTGCTTCAGATGAGGACAAACCAATAGTTGCATGTTTGATGACCACCCATAAGCTTTATTTATTTATTTATTTTTTTACTGTGATTTGGGTGAAAGTTTACAGAGCAAATTCGTTTTCCACACAGAATTTCATACACATTTTGTTTCATGACATTGACTGCAATTCCCCACAATGTAACAGCTCTCTTTCCACTTCCTCCCCATGGTTACCTCTTCCCTGTGTCCTTCCCTCCCATGTACTCCCCCCACCCCATCTTTCTATGCAAACACTGCCCTTCTGTTCTCCCATAACTGATTGTTCCAAGCAGTGTATCTACATGCTGTAAATGTTCACCCCATGTGGTAGGTAGTTCAGTTTGTGTGTCAATTTGTCTGGGCCTGGTTAAATGGCTGGGCAGCTGGATGTAGCATTCTCCATGATGACACTGGTAATCAACTCCATGGTGGAATCTACTGTGAGCAGATGAGCAGCTGCCTTAGGGAATGTGGTCTGCCTTAGGGAATGTGGTCTGCTTCCTGTATATAAGCAGAAGCCTTGGGTAATGGTCTCTAGCACATGGCATGTTTGGACCTTGCATGTAGCCGTGTCATTGTTCAGCAGCCTGCCATGCTTTGCTGACCTTGGGACTTACAATGGACTTGAATTAATGGTCTGCCGTGTGGCTTGGTAACGTCAAGACTGTGCCATTTTATTTGTCAACCTTGTGCTTGTTAGCCTCAGCAGCCAGTAGCTGTCTGACTGAAGAGATGCCTTTAGTTTCAGCAGGCTGGGAGCAAGAGGCAGAGCTGAAGCCCAAGGTCGAGGGGCTTTCACCCAGCCCCTAGAGCCTGGAATTTTGAACTCGGACTTCTAGCCTCCTGAACTGTAAGAGAATAAACTCCTGTTTGTTCCATTCCATTTGTGGTATTTTTCTTGTCAGAGTGGCACTAGGTAATCAGAACACTCCATATGCCTGTCTATTGTTTGGCAGGAAGCCACAGGAGTGAGCTCAGCTCCAGACATGAAAGGACCATACATAGTCTCACCAGGCTCTATCAGACCAGCAAACCTGGTCTTTTTTTATGATTGTGACTTTTTTTCCACATTGTTCTCCCACTTTATCCAGGCACTGAAAAGTTTTAAGACCTCAGTTGCTACTCACCAAAGAAGGTTGTAGACCAATGTTTTTGTATACTATATTGTGCCAGTTGAGCAGGATATCTCCAGTGACCATGGTCTTAATGTTACAGTGCCTCCTGCAAGAGTAAAATAGCCTAAAGGAACAGTCAACTTAACCAAACTTTAACATTGTTTTTCTTTCCCTCTTTATAGGCCTTCAGGCCTCCCTGATGGAGGGCACAAACCCCCACATTCTTCCTTATCTTTCCCAGCAGGCCTAAGTGTACTCACTCCCACATTCTTCCTTCCTTGTAAATTAATCTTTCTGAGCAGGTATGAGAAGTTTGTAAAACAATTTCTCCTGATTTCTCATCAATCCTCCCAAAAACTCCTATAAGGAGAATCCTGTTCCCCCCGTTTTACAGATATCAAATCTGAGGCTTTAAAAGTTATGAGACCATCCCAAGATCACACAGTCAATATTACATTCCACTAATAGCCCCTCATGAGCACATAACAACAACAATAGCCCTTGTGAGAAGGTGTGGCTGTATTAATAAGGGGTCAGGGTAGAGCTAGGGTGTTTCTCATCACAGACTCATGAAAAAAGGAGGCAGCTAGGCTGTTGAGCTGGTAACAAAACCCCAGGATCCTGGCTGTTAGGGCATTACTTTCATCTTTGTTCTTACTTGTTCTAAACAACTAGCTGGAGTCAAGGGAATGAAAAGAGTGACTTCTGGAAAGAGGTTCCAGCATCTATATGATTTTTTGATGGGAGAGAGAAACCCAAGCAAGATAAGAACAGCTATGAAAATAATAGAATTCAAGCCATTTTCCTCATCTTCATCCTTTGTTGTGGAGTAGGGGGTTTCCATTTCTTCAGCAATTCTCTGGAATCTCTCATTTCCTGGCTTTTTAAAACTTCTTTTCTCTCCATTTTTAGAGCTTATTTGAGATCTCTCCCTGGCATGGACCCTCCTTCTCAGGAACAAAGAAGGTGAGGTGGAAAAGGATAGATTGGGACACAAGGTCCAGTTTAGTCTGTATTCCAGCTCAGTTCCTCCACTTTAGCCCAGATCCCCATCTCCACCTTGTAGTGGGGCTCAGAGAAGACTAATAAAGGACTGCTGAACCACCAGGACCCACCAGATTGGATCGTATATTGGAGATTATGTCCTAAACAGATACCCTCTTCCAAACCGGGCGTGCAGAGCTTTGAAACTAGAAAATGCCAGGTCTGAGGGAGAGGAAAGAACAAGTCCAGCAATACACAGAGCTCTGTGTATTCAGAGGGAAGTTGGCAGAGTTGTATTCAGGCAGAGGAACTCTGAGTGGTACAAAGGGACGTGCCCAGAGTGGAGAAATCATGCTAATTGTCTGCACCAGAGCTGGAGAACACCACCCAAAATGAAGAGAGAAAAGGGAGCCCTGTCCAGAGCCTCCAGTGCCCTGAGCCTCACTCCCTTTGTCTACCTTCTTCTGATTCAGACAGGTAGGAGACCAGAAGGGTAAGAAAGGGTCTGGAGAAGGGACCGTGGGTTTTCAAAGGAGAGGGAGGGGAGAGTTGAGGGCCTGAATGCCTTTGGGGTGGGAGGAGGGGAGAGAGCTCAGCTGTCGTGGGAAGCTTGTCAGTGAATTCAGGCATTAGTGTTGAATATATTTCTTCATTCCGTGTGCCTCCAGCCCAGATCTCCCTCCCCCAAAAGGCTGTATGACTTTGGAGCTCCCACAGCCTTCAGTATATTAGATGAATGGCACTGAGCCATTTCTTATAGAACGACTTGTTGGCGTGGGCCAGTCCTGCATTCTTTCCAAGGGATTATAGTGGGGCTTTGGGGAGGTGGGAGAAATCTTCACTTTGTGACTCCTCAACACCCCCTACACACACTCTAGCTTCTCTAAGTGTAAAATAGCAAGGAAGATGAAAGAAGTTTTAGAGACAATGACCCTCTTAATTCTTGAAAAGTAACACTACCTTATCTATAACTCACACCTATGCTATAGACAGGAGCTCTGGTAGCATAGTGCCTAAGGCACTTGACTGCTAACCAGAAGGCTGGCGGTTGCCTAAGGCACTTGACTGCTAACCAGAAGGCTGGCGGTTCAAACCCACCAGCCACTCCTCGGAAGGAAGGTTGGGCAATCCTACTTCCGTAGTGATACTGCCTCGGAAACCCAAGGAGGGGTCGCTATGAGTCAGGGCCGACTCGATGGCAAATAATAACAACAACAACATGCCATAGACATCTACCTTCTATATTGTCCCCTACCAATTCCTTGGAGAATTGATCTTATTTTAAATGTGTGTGTGTGCATGTGTATATATGTATATATATGTGTGTGGATTCACACATTTGCACTCATACACACATGCATGAGTGTGCATGCACGCACATGCATATACACACACACTAGGAATTCACAATTTATTGAGGGCAAGCAGATGCAGAGATCATTTTAATACAGTGTGTAAACTACTATGAGTCAGATACGCACAGAGTGCATAGGAATCAGAGAAAGGTCACTTAACCCAGGCTGGAAGTAGGTAATGGTGATGCCGAAGGAGAGAATGACAGAGATAATGTCAGAATTAAATTTTAAAGGATGAGAAAAATAGAGAAGATTGGAAGTAGGCATGGTAGTCTGGAAAATAGGCAAAGGGCAATCGTTTGAAAAGGCATCATATGTTTAAGAGGAGAAGAGCAGTTCAATATTTCTGGAGAGGAAAATGTGATTGAATTAGACAAGAGTCTTGTAAATTATATTAAGGGGTCTGGAATATAATCTATAATGTTGGGTGGAAAGAAAGGTGATGAATGTTTTTTAACTTGAGGAGTGGCAGATTTGGATGTATGTTTCAGATAGCTCAGTCTGCTATGAGGCATTAGAGGGAGCAAATAAGATAAGAAAAAATGGGAATGGATAAAATCACCTAAGAGGAAAAAATGGACAGAAAATGGAACATTGAGCAATCCCAAGATTTATAGAAGACAGCGGAAGAATTGCTCATGAAGGAGACCCTAAAGGAACAGTCAGAGAAACAGAGGTAGAACTAGAAGACTGGTGTCTGGAAAGCCAAGGGAGTTGAGAGTTTTCAGAAGTGAACATCATCTAGTGTGTCAGAGAGGTCCATTATAACAACAACCTAAAAGAGTCCATTAGATTTGGCAATTAAGGAGTTACTGTTAGCCTTAGTGAGCACAGTCTCAGTGAATATTGCAATGAGTTAAGAAAAAATGAGACTTGAAGGTATAGAGACACTGAATTTGGAATAAGAAACACAAAATGAAATGTGTAAGTCAACGATATCACTAAGCTCTTTCAGTCATCAAATAGTAAAGGGGAAAATGTAGAAAGACCTTATTAGTCAGTGTAACTAGGCAAATACAAAAGATAACAAAGGATCTTTTGTGTGGGGAAATATAACATAATAAATATAGGGGGGAAAAAACCCTAAATATAAGCCCTAAATATAAACTATGTTTACTGGATATGAGTCATGACTTACAATAGGTAAGAGGTAAATTCAGGTCACTATGCTGGTATGGACTAAAGAGCAGTAAGAGTGCAGATTCTATAAGAAATTCCTACCATTCTCAATATGTTAGTTAGGAAAATGTCAGCTTCTGTAACAAATAAGCAAATTTAAAATAAATTTTAAGATCCTGGAGCTGATCACATAATAGTTTAATGCAATCCCAGGCTGAGCCTGGAATGGAGAAAGATCTGTTCCATGAAGTTTGTCAGGGGCCAAGTTAATGGAGGCACTATCAACTTCATCATAGGTTTCCAGTGGTCACCCTGAGGTTTATCTCCATTTCTGCCAGGTAGAAAATTTAAAAACAACAAAATAAAACAAAAAACATGGAGGAACATGCAGGGGAGATTTTTCTAGACCAGGCCTAGAAGTAGTACATATTAGTTCCACTTGGTTCTATTTATTTCTGTAGAAATCAAATATCAAATTCTATAGAATTCAGTCACATGGCCATCATAAATACAAAGGAGGCTGGGAAATGTAATCTTTTAAAATTAGCACTAACCTGGGACTGGACTGTGTGGCCCTGACTCCCAAAGATTTATCTTCTCTCTTGTGGTTATGATAGCAACTACCAAGCTAACCTCAGACAAATAACACCAAAGTGTGGACAAATGAGCCTTTCCTGTATTCATTACAGCTCAATTCATGGACCAGTCAAAAGAAGATTTTTCTGCAGGCTAAGACATTAACCCTCAGACATAAGCACCGTGTGCCATAAATCTAGATAAAATTATTTGCAATTTTACTCTCTGGGATCCTGGAACTATTTCATCCTCAAAAAACCCAATAGGTTCTAGCCTTTTTTGCCCCAAGTCCACCTCCACATCATAGGTGCTATAGTTGTTGTTTTGTTTTTTAAAAAAGATGTAATTTAAAATTACTTACAGAAAAAATGCATTTAGCATCAGGATGAAATCTGATGAATCTTAAAAAAAAAAAAAAAAACTACATATAGTTCACTCCCAGACCAAGAAATAGAACATTTCCACACCTCAGAAGTTGCCCCATAACATTTCAATTATTACCAACCCACACTTCCCAGGGTTACCACTATCTTAACTTCTAATACAGATTAGATTTTTCATGGCTTTGAACTTTATACAAATGGAAATGGACTCATGTATGCATTCTTTCGTGTCTGTTTTCTTTCTCTGTACACTAAGTTTATAAGATTCATCCATGTTGTTACTGTTATAACTTGTTTCATTCATTGCTTTATAGTATTCTATTGTATGAATATATCACAATTTATTTATCTGTTCTACTTTAACAGACACTTTGGTTGTTCTCAGTTTGGAGCTTTATGAATGGAGTTTCTAAAAACATTCTAGTACATGTCTTTTGGTGAACATATATACGCATTTCCTTTGGGATTATACCCTAGGAGTGGAGTTGCTGAGCTGTAGAGTTTATGTATGTTTAGTTTTAGTAAATGCAGTCAAACACTTCTCAAAAGTAGTTGTCTCAGTTCACTCCTACCAGCAGTGTATGAGAAGTCTACAAGTATATTTTCTCCTTTTCATTTTAGCCATTTTAGTGAATGTGGAGCGGTATCATATTATGGTTTAAATTTTCATTTCCATAATAAAGTGACTTTTTCATATGTTTATTGGCCATTTGGATATCCTTTTTGTGTAGTACCTATTCCAAATCTTTTCCTCATTTTTCTATTGAATTGTCTGGATCTTCTTATTATTACTGATTTGTAAGAGTTTTAAAATTGTGTTTTGGATATGAGTACTTTCTGAGATATATTTATTGCAAACATCTCTTCCCATTCTATAGCTTGCCTTTTCACTCTCTTAATGGTGTCTCTTGATAAACAGAAGCTGGGAATTTTAATGTGTTTAATGTATCATTTTCTTCTTTTATGGATGTCTACTACTTTTGTATCCTGTTTAAAAAACCTTTGCCTGTCCTCAAGTCATGAAGATATTCTTCTATGCTTTCTTCTTAAAACTTTATTATTTTACCTTCCACATTTAGATCTACAATCTATCTCAAAGTAATATTTGTGTAAGGTGTGTGGTAAGGGTCAAGATGACCAATGCTATTTTTTTCTCATTTTATTTTTTTGTTGTTGAGAATGTACACAGCAAAACATATACCAATTAAACTGTTTCTGCATGTACAATTCAATGACACTAATTACATCCAGTACCATTTTTAAAAAAATTTTTATTGTGATTTGAGTGAAAGTTTACAGAGCAAATTCATTTTCCATACAACAGCTCACATACCAGTACCATTTCTTAAAGAAGAAAAAATATCTTCTCCACTGCACTAAAGGTCACCTCTGGTTTAAATTATATATAAGTCTGTTTGGAGTCTCTCTATTCAGTTCCATTGATCTATTTGTCTATTCTTGCACCAATAGCAAAACTTTTTAATTACTACAGACTTATAAGTATTGCTATCTGTTAGTGTAAACCCTCCAATATTGTTCCCTTTCTTTAAGATTGCTTTAGCTGTGTTTGGCTTCCTGTATTTCCACATAAATTTTAGAATCAGCTCATCATTTTACACACACACATACCAAAACCACTCACCCCCCCCCCAAAAAAAAGCCAACCTCACTACCATCAACTCGGATCCAACTCATAGCAACCCCTCCTTGGGTTTTAGAGGCAATATCATATCACTACAGAAGTAGATTGCCCAATCTTCTTTCTGAGGAGTGGCTGGTGGGTTTGAACCGCCAGCTTTCTGGTTAGCAGTCAAATGCCTTAGGCACTACACCACCAGAGCTCCTACCAAATCCACTAAGATTTTGATAATATTGTATAAAAAATGTATAAATCAATTTGGAAGAATTGACAGCTTAACTAAAGTGAGTCTTCCAATCCACAAACATGATAAATCTCTGTGTACCATTTTAATACTTACACATAACTGAGCATCTATACACTTTTGAATGTAGATGAAAAGTCCCCAAGGTCCTTCTTTATAGT